GGGGGCCTTAGGAGGGAAGGATTTCACGATGCATGGATGGCAGGAGTGAGACATGCACCATGAGCCTGGGCTGCAAAGGGTGAGGGCCTGGGCCAGCTCCCGGGGGGCTGTCCTTACATGCTGAGCCCTGGGTGCTCACAGAAGCACCTTGAAAGTGCTGGAATGGAAGGCCTGTTGTGAGGGAGGCGGACTCCTGCCTCGGGCTCCTGGCCTCAGCCCCATCACCCACCAAGCCCCTCCCGTCTCTAGCCCAAGACCCCCGGGGCCTTCTGTGCTCAGGATACATTTTTGGGTGGGCCTTAGCATGGCCCAAAGGACACAGAATTCATCTGCTTGGCCTCTCTTGCCACAGGGTCCGTCTTGAGGGACTCGTTGGGGCACAAAGGCTCCCTAGGTAGAGGGGACACCCTCGGGTCTGGGGCTCTGTCCTGCTGCCTTTCAGGAAGGTCCACACTAGGTACCATGCTGGGCTGTGGCCGAGGGGTCCCTTTCGCCAGGCCTTAAAGAAGGAGGGGTCACTGCAGCCCTGACTCCTCGGGGTCCCAGAGCCTCAGTTGTGGGCACCGTCGCCCGTTCCTCTTGCTCCAGGGAGAGAGCCAAGGGCACAGGGAAATGGTGGGTCTGCTTGGGCATCTGGATGAGTCACACAGGGCCACCCTGTGGGTCTTGATTTGGGGAATGTGTCGGATGCGTCCCCTTGTAAGATCTTACTCACCAAATTAGTTCCAATGTCAGGCGGCTCGGATGCTGGCCATCGACCCCAGCCAAAGTCAGACGGTGCGGATGGATATGCATGGGCAGAGGCTGCTGGGTGGCCTGAGGCTGGACTTGTCTGGTGGGCAGGGTAACCAGCTCGTCAATAACAGGACAGGTGAGCACAGGAGAGACACCAGCTGGCCGGACAGTCAGCGGCCGTGTGTTCTGAGTCCGGGGAGGGGGTCTATTAAAGCCCCGAGGCTCAGCCTCCCCCTTTGCACCAGGAACATTATAAATGCCAGTGGGGCAGGATGGCCAGAAGCCTGCCCGGCTTCTCTTGGGGTGACTCAAGTTTGCCTTCCTTGTCTTTTGTGTGTTTGTCTCTGGGCTGGACACTTCTACTCTGTGTGTCTGGGAGTGGGGCCGTGGAGAGCTGCACAGGTTGTGCACACTGCACAGTGGCCTTGAGCAGATCAGTGGTCTTGTCTCTGTGGGTGTGTGCTGGGTTGCATGCGTGTGTGTGTACCTGGGAGTTTGCACGTCTGTGTGTGGATTGCAAATGTTCCTGGGCATGTTGCCTGCTGCCAAAGTCTTTGAGTTAAGGATGTTCGGGGCTGTTCAGCTTTGGACAGCAGCCTTGGAGCCACGGGATGGAGGCAGCAAGGCCACCTTGTGTGACCATGAATGCAAATGTGCTTCATGCAGCATGGGGGCTCAGTGGGAGCTGGTGCAGGGGTGCAGGAGGGTGTGAGCAGGGGAGGGCTTCAGGGGGCGAGGGACGGCCCTTTCCCTCCAGCAAGAGAGGAAGGCGATCTGGGCCCCAGTAGCTGGCTGGTGAGGGGAGAGGGCAGTGTGGACAGAGCCCAGGGCTGCAGGGGAGGGTCCCCCGGGGTCCTTTCTCCTCCAGGAGGCGTTTGGTGGGTGGTGAGCTGAAGCCAGACACCTGGGGGCAGGAGCCCACCTCCCCCATCCCAGGTGTTCCAGCCCCGCCCCACCAACTTGTAATAAGGAGATAAAATGCTATTTCTTATTCTTTATTTGCCCAGAATGCCTGTTATTTTCTTTCTTCCAGAATCCAATTTTCCTTTGACATTTCTGCCTAATGTAGCAAGACATGACCTTTGGGAAAGGAGTTTGCTGGCAGCCTGCTCCCTGCCTCAGGCTCCCCCAGAGCGTGGGGCCACTCCCTGGGAGCCGAGCTGGGGTCCCCTTTGCCTGGACCCTGCCCAGTGCTCTGGTGTCTCCCAAGAGCAGGTTCCCAGGGCTCCTGAGGCGGGAATCCCAGCTGCTGACTCAGGTGCTCGCTGGGCTTTGGAGCGGCGGCTCGGGCTAGATCTGGTGCCGGCGGGAGCGGGCCGGGAAGCCGGCTCCTGCACTGGCTGACTTTCCCTGCAACGGTTGCTGTTGGGGGTGGACAGAAACAAAAAGCGAAGCAGAAGGCTTCTCCCGAGATGAGTCCTTCACACTTGTTGAAACATCACAAAGGCGAATAGCTTAGTACTGAACCCCCTGGACCCCGAGTTCTGAGCTCCAGGCAGACACCTGGTGTGAGGTCACCAGGCTGTGGGGCTTTGAGTCCGATCCCTGCTTCCCCTCCCTTCAGGGTCTGTGCCCCAGAGGGTGTCCTCAAGGGTCCCCAAAGGGGTGCCTTTCTTAGCACCCCTTTCCTTCTGACCTGGGAGGATGGATGAAGCTTGCAGGAATAAGAGGTGCCTTTCTTGAGGGCTCCATGGGCCTGAAGGTGGGTCACTGTTGATAGGCTTCTAGTGGGAGCCTGCCCTGTCAGGCACGAGAGCGCCCTGCTGCCCTGCAGGGGGGAAGGGGCTAAGTGGGGGCTGGGGGCTCTCCTAGAGAGAGCTGAGGGGTCGAAGACTCTGGGTGCAGGGAGAGTGGGGCAGTCACCTTGGGGACCCCTCCCCAGAGTCCCTTCCCTCTCCACCACCCTCAGCACCTTTACAAGCTGCCAGGACATTGGGCTGCCTCCAGGGAGAAGGGGCAGCCCTGTCCCTGAGGCTATCCTGGTGTGTGGGTGCTCCGGGGAGGAGCTGGCCCCCCCCCGCCCCCCCCCTCCCCGCTGCTGGCTGTTCCATTTCCTTCTGGATGTCTAACCACATCGCTACTTAGAGCATGCAAGGTGGAGGCTCTTGAGCTCCACCCCCAGCCCCCAAATGTGACCCTGTGCAGCCTTCCAGTGCCCAGACCAACTGTTGGTGCTCCCTCCAGCACTAGCTTCAAGGCACCTACCCTTGTCTCTGCCGGCTGCCCCCTGCTTCTGCAGCAGGCTCCCAGTGGTGCCCCATCTTGGCCTCCTGTTTTTAAAAGTGATAATTAGATGATGCCACGCCCACACTTAACCCCCCCACCCCGCCTTCCATCCTGCCTTCAAATAAAATCCAAACTCCTGCCTTTGACCGGCTCCCTCCCCTCCTGCTCAGACTGACCACTCTTGTTACTTCCTCCCATCGGCTCCTTGCTGGCTCCTGCTTCCTCTCCCATCCCATACTTGCTCTTTGCACCGCCTGGAACAGTCTTCTCTGAGCCCGGGGCTCTTCCCCACTCCCTCTGTCTCAGCTCCGACGGCCCCTTCTGGGAGGACACCTCTGCTTCCCAGGCACCTGGCCACAGGCCCGCTCCCTCTCCCACATCCGCCACTTCTCGCCTTGTTTATCCCTTTCCTCCTGCTTATCAGGAACTGACGTTCTCTTGCCTATTCTTTTGTAGTTTGAATTTAAGTTCCAGGTGGTTCTTACCCGTCACCCATCCCCTTATTCCTCAATACAACTGATACCTGTCATGGCCGTCACCCGGGTGCAGGTGCGTGTGTGTGAGCTCACACGTGTGTTTTAGCCAGCGCTGCATGTGCAGTGCCACCTACCTGTTTAGCATACGCACGCATGTGCGTGCGTGTGGATATTCCCCTAAGTGGGTCCTTACTGCCGCGTGCTCAGCGGTTGATGAGTACGTCGCTCCTGGGGTCCCACTTCAATTCCTGCAGGTCTCGCTGCTGCCTTTAAGGACTGTCAGCACATCACAAGTTGTTTGTTGCGCCTGGCAAAATAACAACGTGGGCGCGCTGCTGCTTTTCTTCCGAAGATGGATGGCTACTCTTTCCCCTGAATATCCTAGTGACAACAGTTAAATTGCCGTGAGGGGGGAAGCCCAAGTGTGGGCAGGGGCTGGTGTCTTATGGGCGGTGGGTGTGTTTTCAGGGGGCAGGGCCAGGCTGCAGGCATTGGAGATCACCTGCAGGCTTCTTGCTCCTGGGTGGATGTTACAAAAGCTTGCTGGTGAGGGGAACACAGTCCCAGCTGTGCAAGATGAGTAAGACTTAGAGACCTTCAGTCCCGCCTGGTGCGGAGTTAGCAATTCTGTATTGATGCTCACACACTTGTGACCAGGGTAAATCTCATGCCAAATGTTCTTGCCAGAAAAAAAAAAAAAAAAGGGAGGGGGGACACTTTTGGAAGTGAAGGCTAAGTTCATGGAGTTGTTTGTGGTCCTGGCTTCAAGGACACATACTTACCTTCAAATTCATCAAGATGTGTGTAGGGTAAAGAAAATGTCAGGCTTTTCTGCCCTTCCGCCATCAGGATAGATGATGGATCCTTGCCCTGAATGCATGCCTGATGGCGGGCACCTGGAGTAGGGTGTGGGCATAGGTAGATGGGATTCAGCTGAGCTAAGACTGTGCTTTTAAGGGCGGCGTCACGGGGACGCCAGCAGCAGCAGGAGCAGCAGTAGAAGCCGAAGCAGAAGCCGAAAGAGAAGCCGAGAAGCAGCAGAACGAACGCTAGAGAGCCCAGATAGAGTGAAGACTTGCTGGGGGCTGGGAGGTCTGCCAGCCTCCCAGCCCCCCAGCCAGCACCCCTGCCTGCCATATGCCTGGTGAACCCCAATAAAAAACCTGCAAAACTACTGAGGACTCTGACTCCTCCTTTACCCGGTCTGCATGGGATCAGAAAACCTGCACTGTGGCCATTCCTGACTCTACAGTGTGGAACTAAAGAAGTCTGGCTATTTTGTATGTTAATTGTATCCCGGTAACGATAATAAAGGATGCCTGTTGGTTTGTGTCCCTGACCGCCTTGGCCCTCCTGTCAGGAGCGGGTGGCTGCCCAAAGCCTCCCTTAGCTTTTAGTATGGCAAGAGGAAATGGGCCAGGAAATGGACCAGGAAAGCTTCATTGTTTTTTAAAAAAATTACTATTGATAAAACCTGACCCTCTGAGAGCACCCAGAATCCTCTCCAGAGGGCCCCTGGGCCAGGCCCATCCTTTGATTTCTCCTTTGTTGTCCATCTTGCAGAAACCTGTCGAGTAACCGGCTCACCACTCTCTCATGGCAGCTCTTCCAGACGCTGAGTCTCCGGGAACTGTAAGTAGGGTTTCGAAGACCCTTCCAGTGATGGACAGGTGTAGAGGTTGGGCGGGGAGACTTGTTCAGCAGGGTGCCCCCTGAGACTGGGCGCACAGCTGAAGGGCTCCTGGGCTGGATGACATGCTGTGTGCCATGTGCAGCCAGAGCAGGCTGCCCCAGTGCTGGGTTCTGAGGCTCCTCCTGGCCCAGTGCCTTTCAGACAGTGAAACCCTTCTCTCTTAGCAGGGCCTCATGGTGTAATTTGTAGACCACCAGTAATAGTTGACATGTATCGCCGAAGTGTCTTGTCCATTTGTAATAGAAGCTTTCATGACGTAGCACTTCTACATGATTGGGTGTGATTTCATTACTACAGCCTTAGGTTTGTCATCACAAGTGTCATGGGAGGTCGGTATTATTACCCCCCACATAAAATGTCTCTCGACCCTTTAAGGTGAGGGGTCTGAACCCCAGAGCAGCAGCCAGAGGCACACTGCCAGAGACTGGCAGAACCAGGACTTGGACTTTGGATTACATGTTTGTTCACCACCTGTGAATTGCAGCCCCTGGGCTTGAGTATGGGCATTGGGTGGGGCCAGGACATGTGTTTATTCATTCTGCCATGCACTGCCCAGCCTTGTGGGTCCCAAGGCCGATCAGTGCAATCCCCGCCCCGTTAGCATGTCGTGCAAGCACGGGTTGGATGGGTGAGTGAAACTGGTGACCGCTGCTGGAAAAAATAACCCGCTGATGTGTGAGTCATCAAGGTCATCTGTGTGCATGAAGGACAGCATATTATGTTGGGCAAATCAAGGAATAAATTGAAAAGGAATTGAGGCATGAAGTTAGGGAGTTGGGGTTCCAGAGGCGCTGCTCATGTGTTCTGTTTTACTTGAGACTCAGATCCAAGTGTGCTGAGTACAAATTGCTTAAGAGTTTTTATGAAGAGGCCATGGCCTGGGATCCCTGCCTGCCTGTGCTGTGGGCTTTTACCTGTCCCTCTTCACCTGGTAGGATCTGAGCTCACAGATCCCGTTTGACCCAGCTGTCAGGGAGGGAAATAATCACATCCAGTGGCCCAATAGCCACCCACCCATGGCAGCCTGTGCACTCCACTCATCCCAGGGCACTTATGTGGCCAACTAGGGGTGGGAAGTACAGATGGCCTCTTGGACAGAGTTGGGGGCGTCCAGGACAGACTGCTGTGGGCCCTTGCCTTTCTGAGGATGTTGCCCATCCCTCCAGGCGCCTCCTCTGGTTTGAATATAATTGGCTTAGCGATCAGAGTTCTTGAATCACAGGTGGCTGAGATCCAGATGAACACCAATAAAAACTCCTACCTGGGCTTGGAAAGGGTAGGTCCATACTTATTTGTTTATAAAGCACTAAAAACGCAACCATTCAGACACCTGACCATCAGTTCCCGCCCACCTTTGCAGGTGCAAAGGCTGTAGAGGTACATTAACAAGACCGCCAGGGTCACGCTGACCTCTGAGATCTTGCTCTGCCCGTGCGGTCTATCAGATCACCTGGGTTATTAATTGACTCCTGATCACAATTCTACAAGGTAGGAATTACCCTGTCACTTCACCTTCCGGGACATGAGGCACTTAGCCAGGTGAAGTATCTTGGTCAGGGTCACCTTTAAGTAAGCGGCACCATGTGGAATCGGGCCTTGGCCACTCTGCTGTGCGCTCTCCCAGCTTCTTCAATATGTTTCCAGCCCAAGGATCTATAGTAATTTTCCAAGTGCCTGATTGCACTTCTTGCTCAGCTGTCCGAGGACGGTTCGGGGTCCTCGGAGCTTTGTGGGGCTGTTTTCCGGGTGTCTAGCCCTGCCTCTCCTGGAGCACCGGCTCCTTCCTCTGCGGGAGCCAGGGACAGTGTCTCCCCGAGGGACAGCTGGACCTGCTGTTGGCTGAATTATTGAGAAACCATTCAGGGCTCCTTCTGAAAAAAACCACTGGCTGCCAAATCAGTGGTGTGCTGCCCTGGTGACCTGTTTCAGGGAGTTTTAGAAACAGTTGTTCCGTGGATGTATATTTAAAGAGAATGTCAGATTTCTCCCAGAGGATCATGGGATCCTGCATTCATCTTTGCCCGGGATCAATACGTCGGTGAGCTCGACGTGACTTACGGCGAACCAAGGCCCCTTCCCGGGAGGCAGGGTGAGCGCCGCCTTGTCCACGTGGCATTTTATTTCTGTCACATTGTTCAAGAAGGGAAAATTATGTTGGGAAATAAAGACCCTCACGCCAGCCCAGGAGCCACCGCCCTGTGAGGGGGAGGTCTGTTTTTTTGAGGAAGCATTGACTGGTATGAGTGGAAAATTTATCTTTTGGCTGGAGAGGCCATGAGTTGGCCCCTCGCTGCGGCCATGATTAAAATCCAAACAATCGGCTCCTGGCACGCGGAGAGGACCAGCGTTCTCGTGTCCGACTTCTTGATTACTCCACACGGCGCCATCTGCCACGGGGCATCTAGGCTGCCAGCGCCTGCCTGCCGAGCCATGGCTGGGGCGTGGGGACAGGAGACTTCCAGGAAGACGGAGCTCTGGCCCTGGAGGAGGGAGGCTGGGGGAGATGGCCTTGGGCTTTGGCAGCCGGGATGGCGCAGCCAGGAGTGTGTGGCTTTGTGTGACCTTCTGTGGGAACGGGAGGGCAGGCGAGGACGCCAACTTCCTAGCTTCTCGGCACGTTTATTCCGCCGTGAGGACATCCCTGACTGACCCTGCCAGCTCCTCCCTGCGAGGGGCCCTTGCTGTAAGGGTGTGTGCAGGTGGGATTCCCCAGGGGAAGGGCTGAGTCCCGTCTGCTTTTCCAGAAAAAGAAAGAAGACTGTGCAGTGCCTGCATGATGAGACTGTCGTGTCTGGGGACAATCCCGCCAGGAGGGTCTCATGACCGGTTTTGCAGATGAGAGCCGTGAGGCTTGGCCATGGCACAGAACCAGCCCAGGATCCCATGGCTGGGGAATGTGCCGCTGGCATCAGCACCGCGGTCATCAGTGCCGTGGCCGCATCCAGGCCTGTGTTTCTAAAGATGGGGGGGGGGTCTGTCCCCAAGGACCCAGCAGCACACCCCGGGACGGTGAGCCTGGCCTGGCTTGGGCCTCCCAGGAGTGCCCTTGAGCCGCTGGTCCCCAGAGTGAGTGGAGTCATGGGAACAAGGAACCCAGGGAGTGAAGGTCTCTGAGCCCTGTCCTGGGCCCTCCGGGGCTTTCGTGAGATGCAGGGTGTGGGCAGGGGTCCTGGCCCTGCCGGGATCACTTCACGTTGCTCTTCTGAGCCAACAGGAGGCAGCTTTCAAGACCTGCTTTGGAATAGCTGGCACTGCTCCAACGACCTGGTTGGAGAGATTTTCCTTGGCATGGTTCAGTGCTCCAGAAGTTTCTGATTGTGGCAAGATGGTGTTTTTTCCCTGCAGAGAAGACTGGAACTGTCCGTCCAGAAATGAGAGGGATTGTCTTAGCGCTCAAGAATGAATTAGAGAGAAAAGCAGCTGAATTTTATTCCCAAGACTTGATTTAGGTGGAGGCGAGTGGCTCCAGAGGCACAGAAACCCCAGGAACACCCGAGGGCCGCCCTGGTAACCTGCACTCGCCGAGCAGACGTGATTAAGACAGATTGCAATAGTTCAGTTTCTTAAAAGCAAAGTGATAATTACCTCTGGTATAATTGGCAGATTTAATCGACGTGGTAAAATATTAACTGGGTCTTGGGGCGGACGTGGGCTGCTCGGGGGCCCTCCCCGCTCCCTGTCTGGCTGTAACTGCTTGTCCACTGCTCTGAGACCGCCCTGGACAGTGTTTGTCATGGTGGTGTAGTAGTGATGATTTCTGGCCTCTCTGTGGCCCCCCGTGATGTGCAGAGCCCCCATTTCACAGATGTGGAAGCAAAGCCTTGGAGAAGTCCCTTCCTTGCTGCTTCCTTTCCCAGGGCTGCCTTCCCTAATCACCACAAACTTGGTGGCTTGAAACAATGGAAAAGAATCCTCTGGCTGTCTTGGGGACCGGAAGTCTAAGCTCAAGATGTCAGCAGGACTGTGCTCCCCTCCCCAAGAAAGTGGTCAGGGAAGGCCATGTGAGGGAGCCGACAAGCGTGTTATGGGTGAGAACTCTGCAGACCTCTGGGACAGCGAGTGCAAAGGCCCTGAGGCAGGAGCGTGCTGGTTATCCCAGTGAACCTGTGGCTGAGGAGGAGAGGGCAGTGAGGTGGGATGTGAGCTCAGAGAGGTGACAGAGAGGGGTTCCCACCCCGTGGGCCTTTGGGATTGACTGTCAGTGAGTTGGGGAGTTGTTGAAGGGTTTCGATAACCCCAAGTGATGGATTCAAAAGGATCTCTGCTGTGAGTTAGCAGAGTGGATTTTTTTTTTCTTTTTACAAATGAGTTGATTTGTTGGAAAGCTAAATAAATTCATGGACACCTGAGTATTTTTTCTCCTTTCAAGACCTCGCTGAGCCCCTTCTGTCCTTCAGCCCTGAAGAGCAGGCGGCGTCTCAGCCCCGAGGGAGCCGTCGTCCGTTCAGGATCTCCCTTCCCTCCTTCTTGCCCACAGGAGATTGGAGCAGAACTTCTTCAACTGCAGCTGTGATATCCGCTGGATGCAGCTGTGGCAGGAACAAGGGGAGGCCAAGCTCAACAGCCAGAGCCTCTACTGCATCGGTGCCGACGGCGCCCAGCTCCCCCTGTTCCGCATGAACATCAGCCAGTGTGGTGAGTGCGGTGGCCGTGCGGCTCGGATGCAGAGGGGCCCTCCCGGCCTTGACCTCTGCCTTGGGCCCAGATCTGACTCAGCCCCGGGAAGGCTGGTTCCGGGGATGCAGAGGGGTCCCGGTGCCCCTTCTCATCAGACCAGATTCCTCTCTGAGTTTCTCGCCAACGGGCCCTGCAGGGGTGTGTCTCAAGAGCGGTCTCTGGCCCTCCTGCATCCGAGCACCCACGGTCCTTTTAGAAAAGCAGATTCCTGTACCCAGCTTCATACAAGGTGCAGACTGTCTGGGGCCGGGGCCAGGAAGTCTGAATTTCTAGCAAGCACCACGGGAGTCTACACCTCCAAGATGAGTGCCCAAAGGGGAAGCTGCCATGAGACTTCATGGCTAAAACTGCTTGCCTCCGGCACCCCACTCCCAGCCCTGGATGGGAGTCCAGCTGCAGGGCTGAGTTCTGAGTTGTGATGTCTGGGGAGGGGGTCATGTCCTGGGGCCGGGGTCTTCCAGAGCCCAGGCAGCTGTGTGGGATAGCAAGGAGGCCACCATCGGCCTCGTGTGCTGTGGTTATAAGTGTCTGTGCCCCATCCCCTCCCCAGACCTCCCCGAGATCAGCGTGAGCCATGTCAACCTGACCGTGCGGGAGGGGGACAACGCCGTCATCACCTGCAATGGCTCAGGGTCGCCTCTGCCAGATGTGGACTGGATGGTCTCCGGACTGCAGTCCATCAACACCCACCAGGTAGGCTGTGGCCCGGTCCCCTCCAGGGGGCCTCCCCCAGTCCTGTGAGCTAAATTGTGCCTGGAAGCAGGCACAGGGAGTCCGGCAGAGGCGGGCAGGTGTGTGGTCATGTCCACAGGGCCAAGCACGCAGCCGTGGCTTCTGTCCAGCTGCAGTGCTTCTGACCCACCTGACCTTGAACACGCAGCTTGACCTCCCCACAGCCCCCTCCCCTGTGATGGGGCGTGCTGCTCCCATGCACAGGGTGATGCGGGGATCACCTGGGCTCTTGGCAATGGAGCACTCAGCTCGGGGGCGGCTGCACCCACCACTGGTCGGGCTGCTTGGCTTTTTGACTCCCGGAGGGGCGAGGGGGCCAGAGCAGGTGGTGCCGGGGAAGCTGAGTGCTGCCTTCCTACCGGGGCTGCAGACAAACCTGAATTGGACCAACGTGCACGCCATCAACCTGACACTGGTGAACGTGACAAGCGAGGACAACGGCTTCACGCTGACCTGCATCGCAGAGAACGTGGTGGGCATGAGCAACGCCAGTGTCGCCCTCACCGTCCACTGTGAGTGGGTGCCTGGCGCTGCATACCGGGCCTAGGCAGAAGGCCGGGGCAGCATGGTCTGGGGGGGCAGCAAGACTCCTGTGGGCAGGCGGAGGACATCACCCCAGAAAGGGTGTCTCTGTCCCCCAGAAGATGTTGGGGCTCTGACTCAGTGGTGCCTGTGGCATTCTCCTAAATTAGCCCCTGACCAGGTCTAGAGTGGGAACCTGGCAGTTGGGTGGGTGTGGGAAGTGTGGGTGAAGGCAGACCTTTCTTCCCCTCTTGCGGGGTGAAGGGGAAGATGCCCTCAGCCTTCTCAGAGCTGGGTGAGGAAGGACGGGGTCTCTGCTCCGGATGCTGCATCCCGTCCCTGGCCTCAGCCGCTGCCTCCCTGCAGACCCCCCGCGCGTGGTGAGCCTGGAGGAGCCGGAGGTGCGGCTGGAGCACTGCATCGAGTTTGTGGTGCGGGGCAACCCGCCGCCCACCCTGCACTGGCTGCACAATGGGCAGCCGCTGCGCGAGTCCAAGATCATCCACGTGGACTTCTACCAGGAGGGCGAAGTCTCCGAGGGCTGCCTGCTCTTTGACAAGCCCACGCACTACAACAACGGCAACTACACCCTCATCGCCAAGAACCCGCTGGGCTCGGCCAACCAGACCATCAACGGCCACTTTCTCAAGGAGCCCTTTCCAGGTGAGGCGCGGCACCCACTCGGGTGAGCTGGGCGAGGGTGAGACAGAAGCCGCGTCCATACCGGCACTTTGCCCGGAGCCGGATGGCCCGGAAACAGCGCAGCCACCGCCAGCATTTTGAGTTTTTTAAGATTTATTTTATTTATTTATGCATGTAAGAACTGGGGTGCAGGCCAGAGGTGTGTGTGTGGGGGGGTGAGAGGACTCTCCAGAGAGAGTGGGGAGCAGAATAGGCCGATCTACTGAGATACACTGCTGAGGGGAGCAGCGGGGAGACAGGAGAGGTCTGCTGTGCCATGTGGGTAGCTCCCTGGCCGGAGATGGAACTCAGGCCACACTGGCTGCTGATAGCGTCACAGTGCTGAGACTTTACTCCCTGCCACCAGGGAGGCCCCACCACCAGCATTTTGTGCCAACTAGGTGCATCTCTGGGTTTTGGTCACTGTCACAGTGAAAATCAGGGCGCCCCCACCCCAGAAATGCATGGCCGTGCAGAGAAAGGCAGCTGGTGTGGCTGAGAGTGGGGTGAGGTGGGGGCTGGCATGTTGGGTGCTGACAACCTTGACTAGCCCTGCACCACACTGGCTGGGAGACACCTCAGCTGGCTCCGCAGGAGGCAGGATTGCGCTGTGCTGTGAAGTAAATCTGAGCGCTCAGGTCACCTGCTTGTGAGGGGGGTCACCATGCCTCATTGTGGACTTTGCATGTCCACGATGAGGCGTGGTGACCCCCCTCACAAGGGATTTGAGGTGGCTCCGGCTCAAGCCCACACTAAACCCACAGGAGAAGCCCCGCCGCTCCTGACCACTATGGCTTTGCAGCAGGACCCGGTGACTCTGACTCCCAGGTGTGAGGCTCCCGCCCCCTTGTTCCATGGGGAGTCACGTGGGGGCTAATGCCTTCAGCCTGGTGCTCACATCCAGTGGACGGGGAACGTCACTGAGTTATGCAAGAACTTGGATTGGGCGCTTGGAGGATGGTTCTGTGGTGGTCTGTCACGGCTAGAATGTTTGAATGCTCTCCTGCAGGAGAGGAGAAAACACCAGAAGAACTGGGCAAAAAGGGTTGCTGTGTCTCTTGGCGGGTTGAGCAGAGGAGCCCTTCTGTCCAAGAAGCTGTGTATGCTCGATCACCTTGGTGACCTGCTGGGAGGGCTGGCGGGCCTCCTGGTCTTCAGTCCCCAGAATCAGGAGCTCCAGCGAGATGAGTCTCACACATGCACACACACACACACACACACACACGGGGAGGTGGTGCAGGCTAGCTCTGTGCCATCTCTGTACCATCACAGCCAACAGGTAACCCAGTGGGGTAGCAGCTCCGGGGCCTCATTTATCTTAGCGCAGGGAGAGTCAGCGGGAGGCCCTGAGAATGAAGTGGAGAGATGAGGCTGCCCGTGAAGCTGAAGTCTCCCTGCTGGCTCCCGACGATGGAGACGTGCCTTGGGGTGGGCTCAGATGTGCTCATGTTGGAGACCCTGCAGCCCCACCTCACCCACCCCTACCCCACCCACATGCCGGGGAATCTCCAGAAACCTCCCAGTGCTGGCCACCTCACACTTTTTTGGGAGCTAGAAAGAAATGGCCCTCCCTGCAGAGGTGTGGCCTGGGGGAGCCCCGGGCAGGGCTGGGGACATGGGCGTTGCTTGCACCCCTCCATGTGTGTTTGCATGATGCCGTGGCGTCCCGGCTCATGGTATGCCCAGCCTGCCAGTGGGCTGGGGGATGAGGACGATTCTGGGGTGCCATCCTCTTCCAGTGTGAAAGTTTGATCCCACACTTACAACTTAGGGAGGATCCCGGAGTCTCCCCCCTGCAAGACTCACGTGCCTGCTGGGCCTGTGACAGCTTCCAGGCTCCTTCCGGCAGAGCAGCTGAGTGCCACAAGCTGATGGGGAGTTTACAGATTCAGACTCGGCTGGAACGCAGGACTGACTTGAGAATATTGTCTAGTGCAGAGGAACCTTAGGGGACATACGCACATCAGGGTGGGTTCTAAATTGATCGGGCATCTACTTTTCTCAGTTCTGACGCCTAGATTGGAGCCCCTTATCTGCCTTGCGCCCCCCACCCCGCCGCCATCATCCATTTGGTCACCCAGAGTTTAGGAGATGGTGGGGACATGAAGGGCTTGCTCAGGAATTTGGAGAAAGTGCTGTTGCTGTCCCCTAAACAATGTGAAATGGGTAAGAGACAGGCCACGCACCAGCCTGTGCTCACTGTGGATAGACTTTCTCTGAGACTCCTTCCCAGAAGCATCAGTCCCTGCAGGTGGTTAGAGAAGCGTGTTTGCTGGTTGATACTTAATCGAGCTGTGATGGACTTGAGCGAGGGCCGAGCCAGGCCTGGCAATACAGAACCCACGAGCACGGCTGGGTGCCGCGTCGCTCTTGCTGGACGGGGTGTGGCAGCACCAGGCGCAGTCAAACGCCTGCCTTGGTTCTTAAGAAAACCAGTAGCATCAGCTGAAAACTTAGAAACAAAAATGCTGGAGATCCACCCCCAGGGCCTCGAATCAGAAACTCTGGGGTGAGGACCAAAGACTTTGGTTTCTTTAAAAAACTTCTAAAGATTTTCAAGTTTTCATTTTGCAACTGAGATTTACTAAAATAGAGGTTTTTACTCTCTTTGGTCCCTTGTGCCTCCCCCCCAAGGTGAGAGATTTTGATGCTCTCAATTTACTGAAATTGAGCTTTCCTAAAAGATTTTTAACTTTTCATTTGAAATTTTGGCTTATTAAAAAAAGTGACAAAGTGGTACCAACATACCCCGTTCCCTTCACCCAGCCTCCTCGAATGCTAACATCTACAAAACCACAGTGATCGAAGTTGTTGGCTATTGTTGCATCAAAATTGTTGGATGTTTGATCATGACCAAAGCCAGCATATTGAAGGGGAAATTGGGGGTATCCCCCCACGCCTTCTTTAGTTCCTTTGGCTGGTTCAATAATCAGTTGATGCAAGAAAGAGGAGCAAGAGAAATGACAAACTTAATTTCATGCATGGGGACCCGGGGAATGGGAGCCTGTGATGGGATCATCTAGCTTTTAGAAAGAGGGTCATAAATTTGGGAGGAAAGTACAAAAAATGAAACTATTTATATATAATTCAGAAAGAGCTTCGCAATGCGTATTTACATGGGAACAGACCTTGGAAACCCTAGTCTGGGAGGATGAGGCCTCTCCCTCCTCCTGCTGTAAAGCGGGAACATTTAATCTCTGCTTTTAGGGAGACCTCATTGGGCAAAGCATCATTCTCGGAGCTGCAGTTTTTCAGTTGCCTTCAATTCAAAATAATCAGCGGCTCTGGCCTGTGGGGCTGTCTGTTCTCGGTTCCGGTAGCATCAATGTGGGTTTAAGGCCATTACGGGACCCACAGACTTCTGGCGAGTCTTGTCGGTTTCTCTGCCATCTTTTCTGTGTCTAGGATTCACAGACCCAGAATTTCCCGGCCTTTAGTTGCACCGTCTCTTTATTCTCTTTAACTCTGGAGCGGCCCCTCCTGCCTGCTTGTCTTCTCCCACCCTGGTGTTTCGAGGAATACTCTCCAGTCAGCTCCTCGGCTGTCCCGAGCGGGGTTTGCAGGATGTTTTCTCAAGATTAAATGCCAGTCACGCATTGTTCTTGGCAAGAGGCCCAGGGAAGAGGCTCAGGTGCCCTCAGTGCACCATCGTGGGCACCTGGCACCTGTACGTTTTGTCCTCTGGCTGCTGGTGACATCCACCTCGTCCCTACTCATGATTGTGTCTGCCACGTTTCTCCACCCACAGTCACTGCTTTCCCTGGGCAGCTGATGAGTCGAGTATTTTGAGACGAATCAGTGTCTGTTTCCCATCACTCCCCCACATAGTAACTCAGGCATTCACTGATAGTTCTGGCCCCAAACAGCTATTACCTGTGCCTGTCAAACGGGGGTTCCCCGTCCCCCCCAGTCCCCGTGCTCTGCTAACTGGGGTGCTGCTGTGAGCATGAGTTCCCTCTTTGTCCCCTTTCATTTACTCGCTTACTTGTTTCTGTTGCTGCTGGCTTCTGGATGTCTGTGTTGCCCTGTGGCTTCCCGCCTGCCCACGTGTTAGTTCACATGTTAATCCGGGGTCGTCCTAAGAAAGCACAGATGGGGCGACTGAAAAACAAGAGATTTATCTTCTTGCAATTCTGGGGTGAGTGCTCTGCTGTCCAGGCATGGCCAGGGCTGGATCCCGACGCCTCTCTGCTGGCTGGGGGTAGCTGTCCAGGCCCGGCGCTCACACGCCTGCATGCGCCTGTGTCTCTGTGCTCGCTCACCAGTCACACTGGCTCGGGAGTCCCTGACACCTCGTTTTAATTTACCTCCTTGAATATCCATCTCCAAAGAGAGTGTTGTGTTCTGAGGTGCTGGAGGTTAGGGCCTCCATATGCAAATCCATGAGCTGTCACTTAGTCCAAGGCAGTCAGCAGCCGTCACTCTTGGCTTGGCCTCCGGACCCCATCCACTCTTGGCTGGCTCTGTGTCCTTCCTCCATGTCCCATGTTGATGGTTGAGTGCTGTTTTCTCTCCAGCACTGCAGCATGACCCAGCCCTGAACGCACACTCTTCCCAAGTGTGTGCCTTGAGGCCTGGGGAGAGGTGGCAGCCACCCCGTGGGTGCTTCTGTGGTGCACTACAGTCTAGGATCTGTGCCAGTGACGAACAGCCCGGGCAGGTCTGAGTGCAGCGCTGCCCCACCTGAGAATGAGTGTTGGCTCCTTAGTCTCTGCAGTGCTGATTCCTTACCTGCTGGCTGGGGTAAGGCTGCCCACCTCCTGGGGTGCTCATAGGATGCAGAGATCTATTGCAAATAGCATTTGAGCCTGGCCCCCGAATCATCACCAATGTCCAGTAGTTTTTAGCTTTCATTATTAGGCGAGTCGTTTCTCAAGGCCAAAGGTCAACGCATCTTCATCTGGGGGCAGGCAGATTTTAGGTCATTCCCAAGAACATCTCCTTGCCCTGCTTTTATAAACTCCACACAGCCCTGGAGGAATTTTTTGTTTAGGTTATAGCTGGTGTTTTCAAGAGAGGCCCAGAGAATGCCCCCTGCGGTGTTTCTTCCTGGCCCGGATGTGCCACCACCACCCCAGCTGCCTGGTGCCTGAGACGGGCAGGGGGCGGTGGTGAAATGAGGAGCCTAGATAGTTGGGTTTCATTCCTGATTCTAGAAACTGGGCGCTTGATCTCTTAGTTCTTCTCCATTTGGAAACCCCCCTCCTGAGGAGGACGCATGGATGGGGAGCAGAGAGGCAGCAGGGATCTTAGTTTCCAGTTGCTGGGGGATGCGGGGGATGCAGTGAGCGACGAGGTCCTAGCTGTGCGGGGGACCCCCTCATGTCTGTCTCTTCTGGTCTCTATGGAGGTTGCTAATCATCTCTTTGTCTTTTTTGCAGAGAGCACGGAGAACTTCGTCTCTTGTAAGTCTGCTTTACTTTCGCTTGGGAACAGATTTAGTCCCATACTTTTGGTGACTGCTAAATCCAAATCACCCCTTCCCCATTTCACTGCCGTCCCCAGACCCAGGGCAGCTGAGCATCTGTGTAAACCATGAAAGGGAATTGGGGGTGAACTACTTCTCAGGCAGTTCCAAGCCCACCCTCCTGGGCAGCTGCCCTGTGCCTCAGTTTCCCCCGGGGAGTTTCCCAGTGTCTGACAGTGTGTGGGTCTCGACGCCCAGGTGGAGCGTGGTGGTGTCAGGAGGCCGCCCGGTAGAACTTGGGATCATGTCAGTTACATTTCGGAGAGATGTGGGGAGACCTGTTAGCATGTCTCCCCTGTTTGGAGAGTCTGGAGGGCTCAGGACCTCCTGGAGTGGGCTGCAGTGTGCAGGGTCTCTGCCGGTAGGTGCCTCCAATGAGGTTACTGAGGCCTGTGTGTAGGCGGTTTGGGCTTGGACTAGACAATCCCAAAGGGGTTCTGTGTCTGTTCATGGCTCTGGGGAGCACTAGATTCCTTTCCCTTCTCCCCGCGGGAGGCGGCCGCCCCGCTGCTCCCGCCTGGTTGGGGTGCACACCCACCTGGGTCGGGCACCCCTTACTCTTAGACCTGCATGCGGTGTCACCTGTGATTCCTTTATTGGCACTTGTCCTAAAGGACTTGGCATTTCACAGACTGTCCCTCCAGAGACTTCCTTCTGTATTTGGGGTGTCTCTTGCCGTGGGGTGACTGTAGGTAGGGGACACTCTGGGCTCCCACTGCGTCAGCTGGGAAAGGCAATGGATGTGCTGTTTCTCGTGAACTGCTCTGCCCCAGGGACCATCTCTGGATGTCCCTGAGGGTGTGGGGGGGAAGGAGCCAGAGACGGGACAGGGTGGCTGTGGCATGAGTAGTGAAGTGTTCCTGCAGCTGCCATCGCCGACTCCACTGTCCTGACCCTGACCGGGGCCCCAAACCACATATTTCTATATTTCTCTGTTTTCTTTCAAAACCTCCTGGCCCGTGTTGCCCAGGGTGCTTGATTCACTCTCACATGGGGGCGGCAGGCAGGGGATGTCGGGGGACAGAGTGAAGACCCGCATTCCTGATGGAGCCTCCCCGGGGTTCTCAGTGCCAGCCTGGTGGCTAGACAGGGCCGTCCTGGGGGCCTCTGCAAAGCCGGGTGCTCGGGTGGGAGGCATCTGCTTCCAGATGAGATTTTCCAATGGGGCTGGGAAACTGGCGGGATGTGGGGGGCCTCCCTGGGCCACACAGCTAACCGCCTTTGCTTCTGCTTGGCTTCCAGTTTACGAAGTGAGCCCCACACCCATCACTGTGACCCTCAAACCGGAGGAAGATACTTTTGGGGTGAGTCACGTTTTGACCAGGAGGAAAGTGTTTCCCACCTAGTTGTTCCTACATTTCGGTTGAGTTGCAGCCTCCCCGGATGTCACCGTGCTGTCCCCCCCACCCCCCGGCAGGGAGCAGTCCTGGGCGCACCCTTGCGGGTGGTTGAAACCTCCCTGTCCCATGAGCTTCTCTTGAAACAGCCTCCCATCAAAGATGCTGTTTCCATCTCCCTGGTCTCTGAGAAGAAGCCTTTTAGGACCTATTCCAAATTTCATGATCAGAGAACCCTTTGGAAACCCCTGCTCCAGCAGGAACCCTGATTTGGGGGTGTTGCCAAGAGCCGGGCTCTTTGCTAGTCAGTTGCCTAGAGCAGGACCCTGGGTGGGCCCCCCATACCATCCTGCATCCCACAGTCTGGATTTCTCTGGGGAGGAGAGGAAAAGGGACTATTCAGAGTCCAGATGACCTTGAATCTCCTGGATAAGAGTATCGTGTAAAGACGTTCTAGGTGAAGACGCTGAATTGCTCGCAAATTCTCGCAGCCGCAGAGAGACAGCACTTGCCCGTGCGTGTCTCAGTGTGGTCCTGGTGAGAAAGCCTTGGGACTTTCTCTAATCAAGTAGGGAAACTGTTTTTTAAGGGACTTAGAGTCTCATAAATGTTTTCTTCTAAAGACTCTGTTCAGTGGCCCGGCTCCTGGCTCTGGGAGGGCGCACGGCTCTGGGGTGTGAGTGCCCCTCCCCTGCCCCGCCCCGGTCGCACTGGCCAGGTGGCCAGACTGGGGTCTTCGGCCACTGTCTTCATCTCTGGTGTTGGCTCCTGACAGGTGTCCATCGCTGTTGGACTTGCTGCTTTTGCCTGCGTCCTGCTGGTGGTTCTCTTTATCATGATCAACAAGTATGGCCGACGGTCCAAATTCGGAATGAAGGGTAAGGTGGGGTCTTCACTTGCAAGGGTCTCATGGGGGTGAGAGGATGTGGTGCCTTCTGATCAGAGATGCTATTTCCATCTCCCTGGTCTCTGAGAGCCTCTGGTGGAGGCTCCTGCCTATGATGTTATTATCTGTGCTGGGGGGTTGAAGGCATTGGTGGGAACCAAGCTGCAGACCACCTGGCTTGGCCATGACTGTGGCAAACGTGGCTTAGCTGGGCTGGTGCAGTGAGGAGCCTCTGGGAAGGGAGTTGATTGGCGGCCAAATGGAGAGGACTTAGGTTTCTTTTCACAATGGGTGGGTAAAGGGACTCTTTGAGTAACTTGGTTCTCCTCTTGTCTTCTATCCTTGGAGTTATGATGAGAAGCCATTAGCATGGCTGGTGGAAGCTGGTGGACTCTGGCATTGAAAAGTTGCCCATGAAATGGTTTCTCAGCACGTAGCTCTACATGGAGTTCCAGAATGGATGCCAAGAGCAACAGGGTTGCTAAATCTGCTGGCCAGCTTCCATCACACAGAGCACTCAACCTCACTGTGGGTGTGGGATGTGGCTCTCCACCAAGGCTTGGGTAGGGAGACTGGTACAAAAGGGGTTAACATGGTGAATTAACTCCATCTGCCTGGTTCCTGGGATGGATCTGGCTGAAGAGCTCCAGGAGAGACTGGGGGCCAGGTCTCAACCAGAACTGTGAATTGCAAGGTATGCTTCTGGCTGGGGCTTCTGGCTCTGGCTGATTGCGTGTGGGGTGGGTAGGAAGGGTGGTGGAAGCTTAAACCAGCCATCAGTGGCTGAGCTAGGATTCAGGCTGGGGGTTTCTGGTGGGGTCCAGAAAGACGCCTTTCTCTAGCTCCTTCCTATAAGCTGGTATCTGTGCTAGAGGTTCTGACCTTGGGGCTCACGGATGGAAGGAGAGTGGATGGATGTGTTCTACAGGGACACCAGTCTCCTGAGCTTGCGTGCAAATATATGGATGTTTGTACATGGTGGACAGATGGAGTCGGAATGGAGGTAGCCCATGGCTTCTCATTATATGTGTATATATATATATATATATTTTTAAGATTTATTTATTTATACAAGAACCAGGGTATAGGCCAGATTCACAGGAGGGTGAGAGGATTCATCAGAGACAGAGCAGGGAACAGAACAGGCAGACTGACGAAATACACTGCTGAGGGGGCAGTGGGCACGACAGGAGAGGTCTGCTACGCCATGTGGAAATCTCCCTGGGTGGCTGGGAATTGAACCCGTGCTGCACAGGCTGTGGACAGCTTCACAGCGCTGCATTCAACTGCCTGTGCCACCAAGGGAAGCCCTGGCTTCTCATTATATTCCCAAAGATCCCATGGCTCCCCTACAAGTCTGGAAGGCAGACAAATCTTGAGAGACACCCAACGGGGCAGAGCACATGGTGCCATCACCTCTGTTCTTGATTAAGCTGAACGCATCCCAGCCAGGCCAGCCAGGTTTTCCTTAGTCATGTGACACGTGTTGACCCAGAGATACAGGCAAATTATGGGAGCAGATAGAAGTTTGGCTCAAAGCCAGAGGCTCAAACAAGATCAGACCGTTGGGCGCCTGGATGGGGTCATTTTGTCGCTGACACCCCCGCGTGCCGAAGGGGGCTTGGGTTTAGAGATGAAGCTGGTGAGCGAGTCGGTGCCTCAAAGCTGAGCATCGCTTCTGGGCTTCTGGCTTGAGGACCCACCGTCTCCCATGTGCTGTTCCCACTGAGGGTGGGTCCTTCCTAGCTCTTCCTCTATGCACCTGAGAAAACATCAGGACCTTGCCTGAGGGGGAGAATGGGGTGTTATTGCATCTTCCCCATCCCCCCAGGAGGCGTGCCACCAGTTGAGACCTTGGGACATGCTTGGCAGCTCTGGGAGAGCAGATTTTTCCTATTACTTGTCATCCGGTTTCTGGAACAGCCTGTCCACATGTCGGATGGATTAGGCAGCACCCAGGGCGGTGCCTGTGCCTCAGCTGTCCTCAGAGCCTCTCCCAGCCCCTGCTCCCTTCTTCCGGCTGAGCTGCCTCCCTGGGCCCTGGCTGGACCCTGGGGGGGGGCATGTCCATGCAGATGGAAGGGAAGTGACCCCTGTTCTAGAGCCAGGCAACAGAGGAAGTTAGGTTGTGTCTGAGTCACGAGGGATAGTACAGAGGGCACTGTGGGCTGGAGTCGAGGCTCCCTCCCTGGTTGTGGCGGAGCTCCAGCGTGCTGGGGCTCATCTCAAGACCAATATGCCACGGCCAGGCTGTGTACACATTTCATTGTCTGTGGCCAGTAGGAGGAGGTGAAGGGGTGGGTCCCAGAAGTCCCTGCCCTGACCCAGTGAACCTCCCTTGTGCATGCAGCCGGTCCAAGCCGGATGTTCCAACTGCCCAGAACCCACTGCTCTCCGCCCAGCACCTAGTCTTGCAGGCTTGCCGCCTCCCCTGCGTGCCTGCGGGAGCCCAGTCCTGTGTGATTGGCACCCCAAGAGGCTCCCCTGTGGCAGATCCCTTCTTTTCTGCCTATAGAATCTCCCCCAGTCTCCCCTCAGTGTCCACAAGGGCTTCCCTCTGCTTTTCCGCCCATCCTGGTGTCTCCACATGCCTCAACTCACACGCCCTTGTCTGAGCCAGGGGCGACTTGTCAGAAACTCAGGGCACTCAGCCCAGCGGCCTGAAACATCACTTGGTGTTTGACGAGCACTTGTTGAACTTGGAAATGAATGACTTAATTTTTACTCATAAAGAAAGCGAAGCTTGGAGATCAGGGCTGGGCTAGTTGGGGCTAATTTGGAAATCTGAGGTGCTGGGCACTGGGGAGTGGGGTGATGGGGGAAACTCATGAATCAGTCCCCACCCGAGGGCTGGCACACAGTGCAGGTAAGGAGACCTTTTTAAGACGAACTCTAAGTCCTTGTGAGAGCTTTGAAGATACAGAAAAATACAAGATGAATGCAACAAGCACCTGTGCTCCCGCCATGCAGAAGCAGTGACGGATTCTGTTTTATATTTGCACGGAATATTGGTCCCTGTCACTGATAGAACCAAGTCTGCTGTCACGGCACCCCTGTCCTGTCCCTGCCCGTCGGTCCGAGCGCCTGGTGTGTATGCGCGTCAGCTCGCTCGCTTTGTCTCTCCCGGACCTCCAGTCCCTCCCTCTACTGTTGCTACACCATGGCTGGTTCCCAGTCAGACTCGTACCCTGGGGGACCAAGTGGGCAGCTGCCTCCTTCCCAGGACAGTGCCCATGGCCATGGTAGATAACTTTCACACTGATGTGTGCACGTGTGCATATTTGCATATGTATGCGCATACGCGTGCATGTGTGTGTTGGCGTTTGTACGTTCTGTTTGTTGTAGGTCACACATTGCATCGGCAGACCTCTAGAAAGTGCCTCCCCCCCATCTATAGGTCTTATGGATATGTTTTATCTGGACAAAGACAGTTTAGACGGCAATGATTAAGGGCCGCGCCCCCACAGTGTATGACAGAAGTTCCTGCCCGGGATGTGTGCACATCTGTGTACACAGTGGGCTGTGCTCCCAAGGGCCTCCTTCAGTGGGTTTATATACATGCTGTTCTCATACTCATCCTGCGTCTCGCCATGTGCCCAGTCACGTATTGGCGACGGTTCCGCGGGGGCCGTGCAGGCACTGCTCTGCACCTTTATTGTGGGAGATGTGTATATCACCGTACGGTCCCACACCTCTCTCTCCTCTTAGCTGCCATCTTTTTGGTCAAAATGTTGGCCTGGACAGGGGTCATTTAGGAGGTGAATTCATCCTCCTTGAACCCTCTTGAACATGTGTAAAGTGAGGGTCCCCTGGGGCTTCCAGTGAAGCCCTGGGCTGTGGGGTGGTGGGGGTATGGCATGGGCACTGCCCAGGGCAGGCTACCCCATGTCAGGTGCTAAGTCTTTGATTGCTGGACCAAGGGGTGGCTGGGAGGCGGGTGCGGGGCGTGTAGGGCAGGGAGGTACAGGTAATCTTCCAGTATTTCCATGTCTTCTTATATTGAGCCAGTGTATCCTGGGCCTGGAGGTGGCATGGTTCAGAATTTCTACCAAGCTCATCCTTGCAAAACACAAATTTTTTTTGTTTTTGTTTTTATTTTTATATTAAACTGTTTGTGACATCATGTGGGTTTCAGGCGTACAGCTTATACCTCAATATCTGTCACCACCAGGGTTCTAGTTTCCGTCGTCAACATACAGCACAGCCCTTTAATGCGGTTTACCCACCTCCTTCCCCATCCCTCCTGCTAACCACTATTTTGTTGTTATAGTCTAAAAAGCTTGTTTTTGTTTTGTTTCTTTGTCTACCGCGTAAGTGGTATCGCATAGTGTCTGTCTTTCTCGTCTGGTTTTTCTCACTTCACATAATGCCCTCAGGTCCATCTATGGTGTTGCAAATGGCAGGACCCATCTTTTTGTTGCTGAGTAGTATTCCACTGTGCACACAGTCACGCACCATCAGTGTTTCAGTCAATGGCACATGCACAATGCAGTGCAACAGGCTCCACCCTCCAGCCCGGGTGTGTAGCAGGTTCTGCCACAGGGTTTGTGTAATCACACGCTATTGCCATTCACACAACAGGACCCTAAGGATGCATTTCCCAGAGTGTCTCGCTGTCATCAAGCAGTGCACACCACATCTTTATCTTCTCAACTGTCTGTGAATTAGACCCCCCAAGACCAATACCTGGTCGGCATCCAGCACTGGTATTTACAGGTGAAGACAGTGGGGCCCAGGAAAGGTGAGGGATTGTTCTGGTTTCAGTCTATGAGGCCAGGTTTGGTCTAGAACTCCCTATTGCTCCTGCCCACCCACCTTTTATGGCTGCACAAGCCACCTGCATCCTCAGTCTCCACCGGGAACCTCACGGCACACCTGCCACCTGTGTTCCCCGAGGTCATCAGGACAGTGACCAGTTTTGGTGCCAGTGTCTGTAAATAATAAGCCGAGCCCTCCAGTTTGCCTGCAAGGTGGCTGCTGTTGCTTTTTAGT